TCTCTTGAAAGCATTAAAAAATTCTGGTTATTGATGTGTATATTAATTTTAGTGGAAGATATTATAATTGTAAACCCTAGAATTTATCTCGTACATCTATAGAATTGCCATAGTGGATGAGTATAGTGAATAACCGTATTAGCGCTGCGGGATATTAGAATTTACATCCTTACTATATTTGCTGTGTACTCTGTGTTATGCATGCAAAATTTACGTTCGCAAATGGAAATATGAGGTTCACTCAAAAATTGCTTTGCCAAGAGATAATATAGTTGAATTTCACCAGAGTAATTATTAAGTTGCCGAAGGAAAAGTTTTGTTTTAACCAAAAATCTCACTTGGTAATTTTTGTTTTCTCCACGCTTTTAGGCATATGAATGGATTGACACCGAAAAGGAAAAATTTAATTTCTCGTGAAAAATTTCGACAAATCACGATAAGGGCTAGCATTGGTTAGTTTTGCCAATAAATCTAGTTTAATTTTCTAAACGTCTTGCAAGGACTTTGCTGAACTCAATTCTGGAGTAAAATAATATAATATCACAAGATTGAAAACTCACATATTATTCATTCACAGTATGAAATGAATGTAAGTATTTCGCGTTTCGAATCCTTCACGTATTAAGAAATATCTGGTGACATTTAGCGTGTTTTGTTTAAACGGCGCCTTGCGAAAAACGCCATAAATCAAATCCTGTATATAATCATTTATTATCCTCCTAGCTTATGATATACTGTCGAAGCTGGCACAAGACAAAAGTATATTTCAGTGTCCGGCATAGTAAAAGCTAACAACGTTCTGGGACATTTTTATATCATATATCAACCAGGGCAGAGCGATGCTTCTAGGCTGCGAGCCTAAAAAAAACACTTCACGCTCGTTGTCTATTTGTCAAAAGGCGAAACTCCAAAGAGACAACTCCGACAGGCTTTTTGCATACTTCAAAAAAACATATATTCACTATTTTTGCAAAAACATTGTAGTTTTATAAATATACAAATAGACGGTAAAAGAAATATTCAAATCCTCGAATTGTTTCATAAAAGTTCAGCTCGTGATTCAATTTAGCTAATTACATTTATCATTCATTAAGTTGGAAATTGTTTCATTTTCCACAACCTTTCCGGTACAAAAATTTATGAGAAGAGTCTTAAGTAAATAAAACGGATTAAAACAGGAAGTCTTAGAAATGTAGATATTGTTTTGCCGACAGATTGTATTGGTTTAGGCCTTCAAATATACGTTTTTTGCTGACGTTATACAAATAATTTTGCGATGTATTATATAAATATAAAGATTATAGTAATTATAACCGGAAAATTGAAAAAATTTAAGTTGAAACTACAGATTTATATTAGCTGTATTGCATTTAAATCATCTGTATTGTATAAAACGTTGTGAGTGTAGTTAAATGACAGTGAAACACAAAAATAACGAGTTTTTAAATATTTGAATAGCAATAATCAAATAAAAAAAATGTTGCTCTACAAATCAATGAGTCCCCGGCGAAAACTAAATTTACATATGCGCTTCAATTCTCAATAGACACTCAAACTCGGAAACACGTCCATCCATCCAAAAAACAAACTATGATAAAATTGAAGAGAAAACAAGTATTGTCGTTGCAGCAGAACAAAACGGTCATATATTCATAAACACGTTTCAAAAAGCGATATACTTTATATAACATATTCAGCGAATTGAGTGGGCGAGGGCCATAAAAATCGATTGTAATGCCCATTCGACATTGTCACAATTGGACGCGTTACTTATGGACAACCAAACTGCTGCAGGCGGACACCGTTGTTGCAGGACATATCAGGGAAACAAAGGCCAAAATGATGATGAGTTGATTATAAAATTCAATTATATTCTCTATGAGATCTTGCATTATATTATCATCAGGGTTAGGAATAATCTCCAACATTGAGGAAGATGATCTGATGGATCCATGTTCCAGACTTAAGTAAACTATGAATTTTTTTTGTTTAAATAATGGGAATGTGGTCAATGATTCCTTGCCTTGCTGCATTTGAGTATTTGTCTTCTAATTATTTTTACTTTTACCAGACTTTTTAGTACTTTTGTCTGGGTATGCTTGACACCTAAACCTCAACTTTCCTATTACCCCTTGCTACCACAAAAACCGCCATTAGACATTCATGAATTTTTTAATACTTTATGATAATTAGTGATTATGGTTCTAATAGACTATTTTGCGGATTTGTTTAAAAAATGAAATGTGAACCCCGTCCGAAGAGTTGCCTTCACTAACTCATCTTTACCCGATATAGACAAAAAGCCATTAAATATCCGTATGTAATTTTTTTCTTATTTTCGAAAAAAGCAAATTGCAAACAGATTGCTGGCACGTAACTGGTAAGTGAAGTTGTATGTGAAGTTTTTCGTGTCATTAATCATATCGCATGCAGAGCCAGATATCATCGACTTAGAATAATATATTCCATTTGGGGAGCTACAGCCATTGCAGGAGCTACGCTTCGGGTCTAAGCGCAATTGATATTACCCGGGAAATAGATTATAAAAATTATTTGCAATTTTACGTAATGAAATGAAACGAAAATCATAGAACTCATTCAGCCATAATAACTAAATTACTAAATATGAAATTTTTATTTGTTATTAATATATGAAATTAGTTCCATGCGTTATTACATTTTATATTCTCAAAGCAGATTATTTTTAATTTTGTGAGCAATCGTTGAATATGGTTTCCTTAATTTTTTTAATATCATGAGTGACTTATCTCCGACCATGGCAAAACCTTCCTTCATATCATAAACCATTTTCATAAATGATTATATATTACGATCAAGAAATAGCACCCCGTAGCCTCGTACTCGTAGCACCGGCGTAGCTTCGTAGTTCGTAGTTGGTATTTTATTATCCCTGATAATGGTTTCTTTATTGGACAACAAAATTGTACAGTCGCGAAATTAATTTTATGTTAATTTTTAATAGCTATTTCCATCATATCGCTACAGTCAATTAACTAAAGTTTATTTACATATATATTACCTAGACTCACGGGAGTGGGTCCGAGCGATAAGTATATTTACACGAACACACTCTTGATTCACGGCAAAAGCTATTTCATACTCGCAAAGCTGGTGTCACAACAAATAATAAAGGTAAATAAATCTTATTGCATCATGTTACTGGGTTCACGAATCATTTGTAAATATATTTGACGTGGGAAGTACTTTTTATGGAAAAAAATTCATACTTTACTTTGACTTCCTATGTTTTTCTTATTATAGCTAAGCTTGGCTATCCCTGTTACAGACATTTCCCATACCATTTGTCCACCATCCATCTATTTCTCGAGAAGTATATAAATGCATCGATAAAAATTCGCAGGTCCGAAGTTGTTCGCTTGAATTGATGTTTATGACTACATAGGAAAGGAGCACAAATAAATGCGGAACTGAACTGTTCATGCGATTCAGGGACCACCATATAAATATATATATATATATATAAATATATATATATATATATATATATATATATATCTCATAAACAATGGAAATGTAGAGAAAATATAGAGAGCCGCTTGCATATCCGTTGCAGATAAACTGTGAAGTGTGAAATTTTCTGCAATCGATTCAGGGAAATATTTTTAAAAAAGCTCACACAAAGGCAATCATATATTGGATCACTTCTGGAAATTCTCATAGTCAGCAATTCGACTTTAGAAAGGTAGGTGGAATTATTTAAACATCAGTTCGAAACAGTATGATGTGAGAATTATGAAGATTCTTCTGACGAAGGTGAATATTCACTTAGAATTAGTTGAATTAGATAACAATCCGATTGCTAAATTTATGTTTCCTCCAATTTTTTCTGGGGGACACTAAAATTGGAAAAAGATCTAAGCAAGTCAAAATTTGACCTTTCATCCACTGTATCTTCTGTTCTAATCTCAAAATTTTAAAAGTAATTTGATGAAGCTCGATAATATATATAAGGACCTTATATAAGGATTGGAGTTGATTAGTTTATCGAGAAGTTACATATATTTTGATGCTTAATTTGGGTTAATTGGATGATAACGAAGGGTAAAGAAATAAATCTTTCACTATATCTATATTGAATCAGATGGAAGCAATTCATTGAACCTCATTAGTCGCGTTAATACACTGGCAAATCCTTGCGAGCAATTTCAGTATCCTTTTCAGCATGCGTGTATTTTCTACGAGTGCGTTCGACAGTACGTTCTATATTGGAAGTTTGTCTTTAATCCTCACTAATTCTTTGTAATCAGTATGTCTCTGGTACGGATTCATTTGTTTCTTCTCTTATTCCAAGTCACCAATAGAACCAGAAACAAGTTATTGCTTCCCTTTAACTTCATAATATTAAAGGATCAATATCTCTTCCGGAAGAATTTGATAGATAAATATTATATTGATGGATGGTAATAAATACAAATGAAAAACCCCTATGTAAAAGTAAACAAGTGGAAAATAACAAATCCTTATTTTTCTTGGCACTGAATTATAAATCAGATATTGAATCCCGTTGAAGTGAATTTGTCGTCTATATGCGCGAATTCTATTCAAATCTGATTATGTAAATATATTCACTACTTGATACTTGCAAATATTCTAATTTTACTTTTCTCTGTTGCAAGCTCTTGCAAATATTCATCCGTCGACGTCGTCTAGACTTAATAGAGTTCTATATTTAGAAACAAACCGCATTTTAAAAATATCAAGCATGTTTTATTCAAGGGCAAAACCTAGTTTATAAGAGATTTATAAGACTATTAAAATCTAAAATTATTATCACACATCAATATTGATCTTTACTAAATTACGCAGATTAAATTTATATCGTTATAATACTTTGCTAAAAGTTCCTTGGCAAATAAAAAATATTTACTTAGGGGCTTCTTCGTCTAAAAACCGAGTACTACACTTTGCAACTGCCGTTTGTCATCACTATTTTCTCTTAAGTTAAAAATGATGGCGTGAATAGTTCTGGCGTGAATGTAGAAAAGTACGTTCAAGTAAAGTCTAAAATCGATTGCAAATATGAGGAAATTTGTCTAAAATCACCAAATTTCATTTCTATGTCTAGAAGATAATTGGCTTGATCTTTTAACTTTATATTACTTTCCCAGGCCTATATTGTATTACAATTATCTTCGTACAAACCAGAGATTTCAAATTACTGATATCTCTCGAGTGCCTTCTGCCCTCTGACCTGTGCCCTTGTGTCTCTCCGCGGTTCAAGTGCGGCTGTTATTGACATTTCACTCGGCCGTTATTGGTCAAGTGCGGCCTCAGTTCTGCGTTTTAGGCCGAGACTGGACCATGTTTAATTTCCTTGATGTCGTTATTAAGTGAAATACGAGGCTTGTACTAGGAGCGAATCCCTCAGGTGCGTTTGGTCTAGACTCTGGAAAAACTCTAGGGGGGAGGGAGACAAAATCATGATGAAGAGGATCAAAGGTCAATATTGTGATATATTTAATATATTAGAATTTCTTGATATCTATCTAGATGAAGATGAAGAAACACAAAACTACAGTTTATGGCATAAAACCAAAATTGGTCAACCAGACCTGCTGAAGGTTCACAGCAATCGAATACTTAGAGGACGACCTTTCGCGGATATTTAACAGTTTAACTATATACAATTATTTGAAGTCATGCGTAATGAAGTCAGTTGAAGACGTCAGTTTAATCTCTAAATCAAATAATTGTTCAATTTTCTAATATACCTCTTTTAACAACCATGCAAAATAGTAATAAAAACATGTCTCACTTACATTATTCAGCAATCCGAGTGAATATCGTAAATTTGCATGCAGGTACAAATTTCTGTGTTAAATCCAGAACCAGTGGGAGATATTGCACACGATCCATGCAAATGAATTCAATGCGCCAATGGCGAACCTAAGACGATGCCGATGTTCTTCTTGCTCGGCTCGCCTCCAGATAAACAGAGCTTCTTGATCTGGAAGAAGAAAGGACAGATTAAAATTATAAAATAGAAATATATTTTTTTATTTGTTTGATTATCTACCTATATAGGACAATTAATAAATTATTTATAAAGCTCAAAAAAATCCAAGTAATACACGCAAGGTGAAGAAGATTTATAAAGGCAACAATGAAACTTGTGGAGGTAACTAATTTGACCAAATCAATTATAAAGTGGTTTGCATATGGTGTTGCTAAAACTGCTCATCACACAAAAACCAAATAAATAAAATGACTAAATAATGCAAAATTTCACATCCATAATCAATACTAATAATGTTACGAATCTTCAACAGCAACAGAATATTTTGTTAGAACAAAGATTTTACATTGAAAGTACTGGAAACTTCAAAAGTCTTATATATATTATGAATTTTCTTGTTTCACTTATTTGCTTGATCATCTACGTAAGACTTTGGCTCATTTGTTTATGAAGCACAAAAAAGTCGACCTAAAACTACGTCCACTGATGCAAAATGATGGTACCAAAGAGGGGTCAAATGAATTTTACTTATTTCTGGACTTAAAATAGATCATACGGATTTTTTGCTAGGCAATTGCCTACCTACCTTGCCAGGTAATTGCCTACCAAAACTTTTTTGGTAGGCAATTAAGACGAATCTTTTTATATTTCTAAATTAATGAAGTACATGTTTAGAAATTCTAACCATCTAAGATCATTTGAAACAATACAATTAAAGAAGAATTTTGGAGCAAATAAACATTATAAGCATTATTGCAAAAAAATTCATTATATTTTTGAGTTTTTTATATTATGCTGATTTATAAAATTTGCCAATGATCTCATAAATCTATTAGTGTTAAGTCCATAAAAATAAAAATGACAATAATTGATAGAAATTATTTCAGCAAGTGAATGTGACTTTGTATAAGAAGTTCTTGTTATGTTCGAAATTAGTAAATTAGTTTATTCTGCAGCACAGAAATCTAATAAGCAAAGTATGAAAGATTTAGCAACTGAACAATAGAAACCACATTCTGATCAATAAAAACTTTTAATTTATTTATTATTTCGATTCATCCCACTTCTGGGTCATATTATTACTACTTTTAGAATAAATTTCCTATCATTTCCCAAAGTTTAGAAACTCGTCCACATCGCAAGAGACGATTCAGACAGCTATGATATATGCAAATTCTCTTACGCTGGAATACCTCTTAGGTGTCGATGGTTTCCTAGACAACTCTATGAAGAGCATAAACATTCTGGTAAAACTATAACTCATGTTCCGCATTTCGACGAGAAATTTGAGAAATAGGAAACTGCAAATATCAATTGCCATGGAGAAATATTCAAATCATAATAAAACACGATGAGGAAAAGATAAAAATAAATGGAAAGGTTGTTTGGTTAATAATGAGTTTATAAAGGAATAGGGATACTAGAAGTTTTAGCAGCAGTTTGGCTGCACCTATTATGATTATTATTACTAAGGATTGGCGAATCCAATATATATATATGTGTGTGTGCGTGTGTATTTTATTAAAAATTTCCACCTACACCTCTTCATCTTTTCCAAATTAAATTTATCTCACGATATATGATACACTAATATATTTTTTCAGGCGTTTTCCATGTTCATTATTTTTTCGTTTTGTTCTATTAACTCATCTGCGTTCCGACCGACGAGCGTTCCAGTTGAAATATTATTTTCTTTGTGGTTTAATATCGCATTTTCATCCATAATAATATCAAGAAGAGAAAAAAAAGGCCGAAACAGAATTTAATTAAAACTAGAATTGTTCATATTTTTTTATACACTGTCACTTTTAAATACTAAAGCAGCTGTACGAAGCTTTGATGATGAAGACTGAGAACTGCTCAAAGAAATGATTTTTAATTAAGGATGACCTACATCTTAGTTTTTAAGAAACTTTACTAGATAACAGAGATTTTAAGAATTAGTTTTTCAGGTTCAATTGCCACAAAAGATTAAATGAAAAATGAAGTTGTTAGAATCAACAAATAGTAAAAAAAATAATTTATAAATTTGACTTGATTTTGTAATTTGTAGGCTTACCAGGTAGAAAATTGTTTATTTAGTACTAATTGGTAGCAAAGTCGTCGAATTGAAAAAGTAATTAATTATTAATTTTGTTATAAGACACTTAATAATTATCATCATTTAATAAATTCAAATTTAAATTAAAAACTAAATAGTTTTAGACAATAAATACATTTTTAAATGAAAAAAAAAATGTAATAACATACATGCCAAACCAAAAAAACTTAAAAAGCAAAATTAAAATTATTATAAGTTCTAAAAATAAAAAAATTAAATAACAATGACCACAAAAACATAACTTTTATTTGAAAATATTTTTGACATGATGTTTATTTTCTCAGTTTTTGTTTTTAAATAACACTTATGTTTCTGTGTTTAATGCTATTTCATTTTTTAAATTTTAAAGAATTTTTTTTCGAGGTTTGGTTTGATATTTAAATTTTGCTAATTATAATAAATGCTATTCATTGTTTAAAACAAATTGTTTTAATTAAGATTTACTAAATGATGACACTTATCAAGTACCAAAAAGTGAAAAATGATGTATTTACTATATTTTTCACAAAATATCATAGAAAATATGGTTTTCTGGTAAGAGGGTGAATATTAAGGGTTATATACTCACAAAAAAAATTGGGGCTGTCAACCCCTACTACTTGGCTTCAATCAAAATATGCGAAAACCTGTCCGGTGATATACCTAACAATTTCCCAAATTTTCATTGTATGGTTTATAAAAACATAGGACATACACAGTCATACATTCATATATATAGATAAATGCAATTATTGAGAAAGACGTGGTCCTTTCTTTCTTTTGTAGTCAAACGATTCAGAATGACTTGAAACTTCGAGAAAAATTACCAAATAGCGAAAAACCTAAAAATTCTTATCAATTGTTCTTTTAACATTTGACTTTAGTAATTAATTGTAGTCTAGAAGTATTAGCATTATGTTTTCAGCAATGAAAATGAATAGGGAGTATCAATTTCCCTCGCCCGAGTCAGAGTCATGTTCCTGGACTAAACATCTGGGGCTTGTATTAGTCTCTGTAAATATTTAATTCGCTTACCCGGCGCAAAACTTGTTAGCAATATATTTTTGGAATTTATTCTTCCTTTATGTACTGCGAACTAAACGAAATGCTCACTCCTACTTAACGCGTCTTAAAACTTTGCACATTATACACTGTAACATTAAATTCCTCGTAAAAGTTAATGAAAATATATCCCGTAATATTTCATGAATAATGCTCATGCATATTAAGTTCACATGAATTGCTCTTCTTTGTTCTACAATTTAGATACGAAAACGCGAAATTTTTTCCATTAAATTGCCGCTTCGCAATTTTAATACTTCAATATGAATCAATCATGCGGGTGATTTAATTATTATATACGTCGTGTTATTACGAAATTCCGGTCTCATAAATTTATACAATCGAATTTGTTTATTCACCCGAAATAGGATTAACTTTACATGGTTTCGGACATATTTTTGATAAAACTTGTATTAAAACTTTCTATCTAAAATTGGTTAAGATCTACATCATCCCGGGGTAAAAGTTTATGTTTTCAACCAGAAAATCCTAATTTATAATTGTATGCCTTCTCGACGTTTCAAACGATTCTGAATCGTTTAAGACTAATTTGGAAAAAGTAGGTATTTATATGTTTATATGTTTGTACGTTATCTCCTAAAAACGGATAAATTGTTTTTTTTTCTCATCAATGTTTCAATTATTGTAAAAAAAAAAACAAGAAAATCTTTAGGAATAAAAAGAGGCTCTAAAAATCTGTTGGGATTCATTATGAGATTGACAGAATTTGATGTAGAATGTAAAACTTCCTCTTGGCCCTGAAAGTGCTCTGGTAAAGTTCTCTGGCAAGTGAATTAGGGCGATCTTTGAGGCGGCTTTTGTACTTATCTGAATGAGTACAAAATTTATTTATTTTTTTTGTTTACCATACTCTTGGATCAACCAATTTAGAACATACTTTGATACATTCAAAATGTTTAATGATTTATTTTGACATCTTTGAAAAACTTTAAGAACCATTCGAAGAGACTGGATAAGAACTAGAAACCTATAAGGGTTTTGAAAGACTATCGGTCTAGCCGTTTCTTCCAAATTAACAGAAAAGCGACAAATTTATGTCAACTGTTTGAATAATATCAAACGGGAATCATGTCGATTAGATTTTAGTAAAGATCAGAAAAATTTTGATAATTTTGTTGAAACTTTAATTAAGTGTTCATGGTCTAATTAATTGAACATCCTAAAATATAATAGACTCATTAAAAAGGATTTAATTAAAAAAATGCAGTAATGATTGTAATAATGAGATTCTGTTCTAAAAGTTGCAAAATCGCATATCTAATATGTCGAATTTCACACATATTTGAACCAGCTTGCTTTAAGGCAGAATGCTACTTACAAATCAAATGAAATTTAAATCTTTATGATAAAATTTAAGCAAATGTTAGACTTGTAAAAGATTGATCAAAATTTATTTAATTTAATTAATTTCACCAGGGATGCCTTTGAAGCTTTATTATCCAGGCCAAGGCTATTCGTATATGTAAGTCTATTTGTTAGCACCATCGTTATATGTAAATGTAAACTAGAGAGGACAACCCAAAATCCAAAATCCGTTAATATTAATATTACTATTTCTTAATCTTGTTCGAAACGTCAGAGTTCAGTAGAATTTAATGCAGTCGTAATTCCGTTAGGTACTCCATGGAGAATATACTCGTATGTATAGAACTGGGAACATAACTGGGAAAACATTCATAATTGTGCAGAATTGGGGGTTGACTGTGATATCTACATTAGTTATATAACTATAATATATGAGTTAAATTATTGGCACTATTGACACTAGTTAATAAAAGTTATGAACTGGAATTTTTGGGATGAGTGAATAATTTAAATGTAATTTAATAACTTATCTCTCAGTCGCACATTTAATACTTTTACATCAAGAAAGGTGAAAGTACAAGGTGTTGATCTATGATCTCGAGTGAAAATCAGGTATCACACTGCTTGATACCAGGTTAGCCGAGGACTAAAGATCGCTAGCCCACATTCTTTTCTCACGTCTAGTTAAAGGTAGTGGTGAACAACATTGCGAAAATGCTACCTGTGCCTGTATCAAAGACCATGTAAATAATTCCTGTGACAAGATTTAATATAGAACAAACATTAATCAAATGTGACGCATGACTCGATACAGAAGCTAATTATGAAGAAATAAAGGAACACATAAGGGGGCCCCCTGGAAAGGCCTTTAGGTAAATGTATATATCGTCTCGGCATTGTTAAATATTTAGCCTAATAAAGAGAACATTGTCTTATTATATCTGTCCTCCCTGTGCTGTACCCAAGGTATTGTTTCCTAAGGAATGTACAAGATTACTTCTTAACAATGATAGCCATTGTTCCGACTTTGTTTCGGGATTATTTAGTGCATTAAACATTTGTTGGCTCTTTTATCAATGGAAATTCAAATTAAGGTAACTTCAATATTCAATGTAATTATATCAGCAAAATGAGAAACAGAAGAAATATTGTTAGGTTGGTTGGGTAATGGAGTTATGATCTTTCGATTCAGCAGACAATTATGTATGCAAGGTTGCTAAATTGATTTAGTTATCAATTTAATAATGGAAGGAGATAATAAGATTGAAAATCTCTCTGCCAGCTAATTTTACACTATTGTTGGCAGATATAAGAACTTATGGAGCCCTGTAAAAGTTTATTAAAACTAGTAACATGAAATTGTAAATATTGCATAATAATTGTACAGAACAATTATTGAAATAGTAATAAAAAAATATATTACATATACCAGTATACCACTGATATGATGATGATAAAAGACAATGATGACTTACTATCAAGTACTATATTGTATAATAGTACAATACTACAAGTACTTAAGTACTATTTGCACATAAAATTAAATTTGTGTACTTTATTCATTTCAAAATCTGTAAAATCAATTGCATAAAACAATGAAGGGGCTAAAACTATATCAAAAATTGTATAGCAAAAGCTAACGAATCATTTACAGCTTTTATTATACAATTTTTGATCTAGTTTTAGTCCCATCACAGTTTTATGCAATTGATTTTACAGTTTTCATATATAAATTAAGTACATGAATTTAATAGTGCATTAATTTTATGTACAAATAGTACATAAGTACTTGTAGTATTGTACTATTATAATATAGTACATAATAGTAAGTCATCATTGAATTATTACCATCTGGTATATTTTAATAGAATTCCATTGTAAAAATGTTAAAATCAGTATAAATTCATAGTGAAAATTACTATTTTTACTTGATATAATAATATGATCTATATTTTGAAGTGAAATATCAAGATATTCAAAGCAGGATTGGAATCTGGAACCTTGTGGTAGCAAGAATGAAAGCTATGACCACTCGCAATAGTATGAATGAATTCAGATTTAGAAAGATTTTGTACGAAAAGAAGCCAGAATTTGGTCCTTAAACAATAAAATAAAAATTTTAAAAATATATTTGTTTAAAATAATAGAAATAGCCTAATTCAAAGCAAGATTTTAATCTGGGCCCATGTGGAAGCAAGAATGAAAGCTATAGTATGAATGAATTCAGATTTAGAATGATTTTGTACAAAAAAAGTCAGAATTTGGTACCTCAACAATAAAATAAAAATTAAAAAAAATATTTTTTTAAATATTTTTATTCAACAGAGATATCCGAAGACTACAGTTAATAATTAATCTGTAAATAATCCCAATACATATTGGTAAGTTTATGCAACTTGCCTTAAGGAATATTATAATGCCACTTACATCTAGTAATGTTATCATCTTACAAACAGTCTTACAGAATAATTTATTATTCTAGGAAAGTATAAGCTGATTTTCCATAGCTTTGGTAGGGTTTCTCCTTATATGAATCAGAATAAATTATTTATAATAATTTAATAAGCAATTACTACTAGCTATGAAATGAATGAATTCAGATGTACAATGATTTTGTACGAAAAGAACACAGAATTTGGTCCTTGAATAATAAAATAAAAAATAAAAAAATAATTCCAATCAATATTGGTAAGTTTATGCAACTTGCCTGAAGGCATACTATAATGCCACTTGCACCTATAGCAATGTTATCATTTTACAACTAGTATTACAGAATATATTATTATTCTATAAAACTACAAAATGATCTTTACTAGTTTTAGGAAGGTTTCTCCTTATATGAATCAAAATAAGATATTTATTTATATCTAAACAAGGTTTATAATATTTTATAACCGATACTAAATAGTAAAATTATTAATTTAAAAAAAAAATTACCTGTTTCAACTATAAAAATGTAAAATTTGTGTGAAAAAAGTATATAACCTAAAGTCTTCAATTGCACTCACAAACCACATGTATAATAAATGATACATTAAAAAGTCATAGATAAATATAAATAGCTATTAAATATAGATCACTAAATTTGGGAATAGTTTCTATCATATTGTATGGAGGCGCTGCTTAAAGGGCGCTATCTATTTAAGGTGAGGCTACACAGGTGGGATTTTGAAATTGTCGCTAAAATTCAATCACACCAATTTTTGTTGAATTTTTTTGTAATTTCAGTTTACTTACTAAAGTTTTTATATTACTATTCTAATTTTGCAGTTTTTACAACTAATAACACAATTGCTTAAAGAAAATATCTGTAATTTATATACAAGTAATATTATTGATTTGTCAATGACAGCATTAATGCCAAATATCAAATTTGACCAGTATATTTTATAATTTCAAATTGGTTACTAATGTTTTTTTTATTATTATACAAATTTTGCAATTTCTTGTGATTATTTCCCACATTTACTTAGCAAATATGTCTAATTTATATAAAAATATCATTTCCAAATTATGGCGTTCGTTACACTGGTTATTACTGGAATATATTTTAAAAACACTATTAGTTGATTTCTAAAATCATTTTATTCATTCATTTTCATTTGATTTTGACAGTTTTATATCATTTCACTTAGAATAAGAAATATACCAAACTATTAACAAAATAAAAACATTAACAAATATGTCTGACTTATTCAATATCAACAAATAGTTCACATGTCACTTGGGACTTGCGATTTACTACGTATCGCTTGAATATATAATAAAAACACTATTCTTTTATTTAAACCTTTAAGTTTATTAATGATAATTACTATAATTTCATTTATAACACTACTTTATTTATTTTATATTTGTACATTTCACTTGTGTATCAACCAACTTGCACTTTTCGAAGTTAGCGAAAATAGGGTATAACGCTCCCCTCTAGCGGACGAGTCGCACAACTAGCTTCAGGGTTCCTGATTATTATGTTGGTAGCAAAATCTGACAAAATCAACAGCGCGAATTTCAAACCGGAAATCTAAGCAACTTTATTTGATAAAAGGAATAGATTTGTTTGTAATATATAGTAGTGTATACATTTTATCAAAGTCTTAAATGTAATTGATTATTCAGGCTTGAATGAGCACAACATAAAACCTAAATTGACTGTTTTTTATAATTATGTATATATTTTCATTCTATTATAGCTAATTAAATTCTGCATCTATTTCAAAAATATATATCTTGAACCTGATAAGTACATAGTTTCAAATTCTTGTAAATTAAATTTATTACTAAAATAAGCAATATAAATATTATTCCTACTTTATTTATTAACTATCTGAGGTAAATATAATAAGGTAAAATGAAATAACAATTACTTTACTATATATGTATGTATTACACAATATTTTAGTTGCATATACAAGCTTAAAATATAAATATATATTATAAATTTTATTTAAAAAATCTAAATGCTAGGTAAAGAACCTATTACCGAAGTAGTTATGGATTCGAATATAATCTAAGAAATATATCTAAAGGCATTTGTATCATTCCTGCGATAATTTGTATTGAAATAGGTAATAAATATTCCACAACATAACTAATGTATTAAGAAACATTTACGTTTGGTCATCTATTCATAACAATCTAGATAATTCAAAATAATAAATTTTAGAGGACCAAATACATAAAGCGGTCATTTATGTATTATTGCACTAGGAAACACACATATTCAATTATTGCGCCATGTTACTATAATAATTTTTGATACTTTATGCTACTTTATTAACAAAATTTGAGAGATAGTATTTTTCTTTTCTTTTTTGATACATTTTATTATAGAAATATTTAAATATTGAGGTATTACATAAAAATAAATCATCATTTTTAAATAGCTCAACATTGTCACAAATTTTAATTTAACTATATGTTGTAATAGATTTGTAAGTGATTTGCTCAAAATGTAATTCTGAATCAGTGATTACCAATTGATATAAAACATTATGAGCAAATCATAAAATTGTTATTAAGATTCAAATCGATACAAAATTATACATTACAGCAGCAAACAAGCAAGATAAGCAATAATAAATCTTTGTACAAAATGTTTTATATAATTTCTTAAATATTTTTCTCTATATCTAAATCACCTTAGTTTTACCAAATAATGATATCTATTATTATACAAACTTAGAAGTTTAATACCTATACTTATTAACAATACACAAATATATACACAATAAGTTTATCAAGATCACCAATGAAAACCTTTTTAGTCTTTAGCAAATGGACAGTTAATACATTTATCATTAATAAGTATCACTTATTATTAACCACATCATAGCCATAATTATTAATTATATAATAAAAAAATAAAAAGTGCCATTTATTTTTAATGATGATTACTATGTTTTTCTAAAGAGATTTTCAAAAAAAGAATGCAACGTTTGCTGATACTAGTCTTACTAGATCCAGCCAGTATACTAGATGTGAGACTCATAAATCTATATAGTTTCATTATTTTTATAAGAAAAACAAACAAGAAATCGTCACTTGGTAAAAAATATTGAAATAATTCAAACTAATTTGGCAAACACTGCATTCGATTGATGGAATGCTCTACAAATATGCGTTTGGTGTTACATGGATTAGAAATTTCATGAAATTCAAGATTATTTGAATTAATTCAGTGCTAACAAAATTTATTTTTAAATTGGTATTCGTTATCACATTAAAAATATACTAGTAGAATTGAAACTAAAATTCATTTGTTGCACAAAAAAAACTCTGCAATGAATCAAAGAAATATTATCAAATGTATGTGTATAACACAAATAATATAAGGAACAATTTTGCAGTTGTTACTATTTAAACTAGTATCAAATATTCGCAAAATATATTTACTTAAAAATAATTTCTTATCACTTTAGCTATGTACAAAATATTCTTCAATATTTTAAATTACTCTTTTGTCTGCCTGTGCAAATTATTATTAGAAATTGTAGGGTCCATGCTATCGTTTGTGGAGTTTGTGACTGAACCTTGATCCAAAAGACTGTTATTGGATCTCGGTACAAGAACAACAGAACCATCAGCACTTTGCTGAAGACTGTATTGATACTGGGAATAAGGATTTCCATCAGAGTCTCTAAGATTCTGTAAAAACAGGAAATATTTTAATAATTCAAAATATAAAATTACTTATTATATGTAATGCACTATTTATTTTACCTGGAACACATGTCTGTACAACTGAGCAAACTTATCCTTAATACGTTGCCTCTCGTTAATGACATGATCTCTTTCTCTGAGTAGTCGATGTTTTCGTTCTCTCATATCTTTGACTTCATCAGCCAAAGAAACTATTTGATCCAGCTTTCGCTTGCGGCAATTCTGAGCAGCAACCTAATACATCAAGCAATATTAATTAATTTATCTAATCTAATCAAAATATATAATTATTACAATGTTGAAAAAAATTTATGACTACATTAATATTATATTATTACCTTATTCTTTCCACGGCGTCTGATGTCTCTGATCAAAGACAGCTGAGACTCTGTGAGATCATGTTTGCTTAAACGCTCATTGAATTCATCCATAGGCAAGTTAATGATATCATGAACTTGAATTGGTACATTCAGGGCTCTTGCTCTTTTCTCATCTCTTGTCAAATGTTCTTCAGGACTGTCTCCATTCTTCCGTTGCTTGTCTTTCTTGTCCCTCGTTTGAGGTCTTGGAGTAGCACCTGCCATGTGGGGTGACATGTGGTAGGTGTGATTATGGGCTATAGGATCGTAAGCTGCCCTAATGCTCTGCTGACGAGCAAAGTCCATTGTGCAGGAGTACTTCATTTCAGGCATAAATTCTAATAAATAATAAACATATATTAAATCTAAAGTTGAAGAACAGAGTAATACAATTTATTTTCAGTCAATTTACCTGTTGTTTTGTGACCATTAATAACATCAACCCCTGGTAACATATGACCAGGCCCAGTGTAGTGCCCTGGTTCATATTCAAATTTCACAGGTGTGCTCACATGTGGAGCTAAAGGAGGAGCCAGAGATCTGAGATGATTTCCATTAGAGGATGGTGGACTGTTTTGTTCTTGGAAGTATCTTCTGGCAAACATATGGTGTTTCTTCTGAGCAACAGGAGGCTGGCGCGAGGATATCGAGGCGGTACCATTGTTACTGCTAGTATTGTAGCTGTAGTCATATGGACTGTATTTGCTAAAAAATAGTAATAGATAGTCTTATTAGAATTGTTTCAAGTACAAATTTTGATAATTTCAACTTCATAACAATGCAGTTATTATTATATTTATTTAGTTATAAATCAATACCTGTGGTGCTGGTGATGGTGATAATCCTGAGCAGAATCGCTGCCGTTCTCTCCCCACTCGCCGTCGCTGAGCGAGGGAACGCGCTCGGAGCCCATTGAGCTGACGGCGCTGTCGCTGGACGCGTCCATGCGGTCGGTTCCGCCGGTGTGTCCAGAGGCTGATGCCCCGTGACCAGAACCGCTAACGCCTACCATGGCTGTGGCGCCGTTTTGGAGAACTACGCCGCTGCTAGCGCCCTGCTGCTGAGTCGCGTTGCTCTGCTGTTGCTGGTGGGCTGCGTCCAGCATTCGCATGGTGTACATACCTAAAATAAAAAAATATTAAGTATAATACTATAGGGACAGATTAATTATTGAAATAGATATGAAATAAATATAGATTCTTAAAAATATTATTAGTAACATTGATATTACATAATAATAACTCGCACTAATCAACTTAGCGCTGCATCCAATATTTCTAATGCTGTACCTTCTAATAAACTTAAGCTCTCGAAGGAGAAGATTATGATTTCCGAGAATAATCAGTATACATTTTATGACATTTTTAATACGGATGAACGGCCTAGAGATCATACCAACAGACTTACAAGAAAAATCAATTTTATAAAAATTAGAACAAAATTGTAAAGTAAAATATACCTGATCGATCTTTGAGTACTTAAAATCATCCCAGTGTTGATACTCAAGAACAACTTTTATTATAAAAATATAACAAGTAAAAAAGTAATGAAAATAATAATTCCGAAATATTTTATGAAGAATACTGATTACAACCAGATGCTGAGTCTTTTCGATGATCTTGGATGTATATATATTTACCATCACGAGATCATCGTAAAGACCCCGCATCTGGTTGTAATCAGTTATTTCCATAAAATATTTTGGAATTATTTAATAAACAGAGCAGTGAACGATTCGTAAACACGTTTTTTTGTGTATTAGTTTTGTGAGACTTTGTCCCTTGTCCCATTAATCAAATTCATTATCAAATCAGACATAGTTCGAAGTCGCGCTCACGTATTTATTTAACTTAACGCTTCCATTCATTCATGCATGTCACGATGATATTGCAAAATTATATTGTTTAGACATTATAAAGTATTACGTCGAAGTTCTGGATTTATAAATATTCAATTTTAAAACAAACCGTTGCGGCTAATAAAATGACTGGAATGGAAAAGAAATGTAGAGACAAGACATCCAAATAATGTGCAAATTGTAAATATTTATTTTCAGAATTTCTTTTGCTTATAATATAGGCCAAGAACGTGCACAAAAAATTCACAAAATTAATTTCTGTTGCAGCAACGAAAACTGAACAAAACTCTCTCATATATTCCAAGTCCAAGACATTTGTTTAATATCCTGAAAATATTGTTCCGGGCACTTTTTTCTACAATTTGCACAAATTCACTACAATTTCATATAAAGTTTAAGGACAACCATTGGAGTTGCAAAGTATAAAAAATCGTTTAAGAAGTCAGCACAGCTCACAGGACTCGTTAAGTTCTGATTGCTGTGTAATAAAACAAAACTGTGTTGCATATCTTTTTACAGAATAAATTATATACAATAGAAATAAGATGTCATTGAAATAATAATTGTAGATAAATACTAGAGACATCCTATCCCCATAAAACACTGCCTGACAATTCGCACGTAGCGCTTATAGAGTTCCCAGAATACGCCGGAAATATGATGATAATATTAAATCATTTCATTATCAAATAGTTTATGCTTGAATTCATTTTGTACACAAAAAAGTTGTCACCTTATACGAAAATAAGAAGCAAAATTATGAGAATCCACTTGTTGTATCAACAGTCTTAAAATAAAATATAAAAACGTCGAGTCATTCTGTTGCGATTTAATTTTTATAAACGATAAGGAACAGCGTCACTTCAGCAATTTACGTTGTAAAAAAAACTTTGAACTTATGAAAAATAATTCCAAAAATAATTAATACCTTTATGCGCGTATAAATATGTTTAAAACTTAAAACCTTATCAGGAGCCCTTTAGGTTTCCAAAGCATGCCTAAGCAGGTTCTACAAGTTTCAGAAAAGCCTTAATTAATTTACCATTCTGTTAAGGCTTGACAGATTCTTTCAAGAGGTTCTTTCCATGGAAGCTTTTGAAATTAAATTGTAAAAATTCTAAAACAGGATGATCTCAGTTTATTCCATAAAATATTCTTATTCATTTCCTACCTTGACTACCTCTAAAAATTGAAGTATTTATAACGTCATTCATAATCTGTTACGTCTACGCAAAGCTCCTTGAAGATAAGTTGATAGCATTTGCAATGAAATAGGCCAGTTTAAATATTTGTCGTCTAGCTTCGAATAATTCAAAAATACTATTGTTTCCATTTGGATTAAATAAAATCGGTCAAGGTATGCACACATTGCAATTAAGCTAATTGAATTGCTTTGCTCATGGCAAAATCATCATTGAAAAACGATCATATGACTAGAATGATATTAGATCAGTAGAAAATATTTTCAGGATCAATACAGAGGTAAAAAGAGGTGCAATTAGAATATTGGATTTGTAAATTATTTTTGTAAAACATTTTTTATGTTATAGTATAAGAGTCCACCATTGAAGACTCGATGGCTGAAGTTATACATATGAAAATTTTAGATAAGTAAGATTTTAAAAAATCCCGTAGATTCTAATAAGTATCCACACTATACGAGCCTAAAACTCCTAAATAGTAGCTAAAAGATCTATTTTGATTCCAAAATTAAATGCAGTAATTTTTTTTATTAGTTATCTTTTCAATGTTTATCTTTCGCGTGTTTGATATAATTTTATCTATACACATTTATCGTTAAAAAAAAATTAAACAATAAAAATGGAGCGATAACATTTTCTTCATAATTATATATTTTCTATTTTTAGCAATTTTATTTGTGTCAAATGATAGGATAAAAGTAAACTATGAGTCGTACTCTATTTTCTAAAATACATATTTTAATTAGTACAAGCAGATCCACCAGTTTTGATTGTAGGTACTTTGATTATATAAGTGTCTACCAAAATATAAAATATTAAAAAAAATAATTTATATTTATGTAGGAGGACACATGTGGTATCACAATGAGAAAATAAAATTTATATAATGATGTATTGTATGAATTCTACGTATTACAAACAAATGACTTCTACTTCAATAATATTTTTAAGTCATCATCTACAATATTGTGAAAACATACATCTATCGCACCTATAAAATAGGAATATTTAGATGAGTAATACTATAAAACACGTGTACTATGACAAATAACCGGTATTGAAATTACGAGGTAGGTATTAGCGACGTGTTACTCATAATGGAAGTTATTACAAATCTGTGATTTACATTTTTATTGCACAATATTAATCCACTAATAAAGAATTTATTTATAATAACTACGGATTTTATAAACAAACATAAAACTTCTAAGTAAACAATTTGGGCTTGTTCGTGGTAAGAGAGAAAATATAAATCTTAATATCATTTCGAGTGAAAATAGCCTCACAGGGCATTGTTGTTTATATATCATATGACTATTAGTAAGTAATATTAGTCTCATTAAAAAGAGAATACACACACAACCACTGCGTTGCATTCTAATAATACTAGGTTGAGGAATGAAACATAACAATTAACATAAGGATTCTGATTACTATTCATATTTTTTTTTAAATTAATTTAAGTAGAGAAGAGGAGCTTGATATCACAAAAATCACGTGGGAAAGGGAGTGGTCTAGTAAGATATGAAGTGTATTTATTTTTTACCTAAATTTTCAAAAAAATTAAAAATTTTAATACAAATTAATTTTCGTGGATTCGAAAAATTTGTTCTAAAAATTTTGCATAACTAAAAATACACGTGATGTTTGGTGGGGCAGGAGGGGGTAAATTTAAATATCACGACGTATCACTAAGAGAGAGAGGGGGTTCCAAAATCCCTAAAAAATCGATCACGTGATTGATGGACACCCCTTAAATATAACTTTCATTGTTAATCAGATAACTAAGTCTTTCTAAGGTTTCCTTGATAATACCCTATTTTATTTTGAATACTTTGAAAGTTACAAATATATACGATTAAGTTCTACAGGAGATATGTTGCTTGTTAATTCATATGCAAATTATGTAAAAACTTAAAATCATGTTTCATATTAGTATAAACATACAAGATGTGATTAAATATTCATTTTACACTTTCGTAATATTGAACTGATACGGTTTCTATATTGCTAATTAATAATTTAATTGGGTCGCTATTCGAAACTTTCCAGTAATAAATAATCATTATAAAAATAAATAAAAAGTTGTATTTTATGAGAATATGATGATAAGTTATTACACTTACTTCTGAACCTTAGGTATAATTCTAAATTTATGTCCAAAGGCAGTGCATTATCACCGTTAATCAAAGGCAACGCACTTGAAAAATATTCCGGCGTTCCAAAACTGTTCACTGCACAAAACATTGTTACAACTAATCAATTTTCACAATAAAACCAGATTAAAACCACGTAATCACACCATCACAAATATTCCAGGAAAGAACAAGTGTATATTAGTAATCATAAGTCATTTGTTATTAGACAGCGCGTCGCAATTGCTCTTCAAGAAGAGCCCCCATACCGCACGCGGTGACACAATCCGCAGTGGAACACCTCCGTGAATTAAAATCGCACTATCATTTCCTGCATTGGACTGAAAATAAATATTCCGAATTCCGTTACAAATGCTTTGTGTTACGGCTAGTCAAATGCTCCGTCAGCATAATACTGATGTACGATGTAAGTAGGAACATCGATAGTTGCGACATTAAAATTCGCGCGCTGTTAATCGGCTAAAATCTCCGATCGAATTGAATTGTAACGTATCGCGAGGCGGCCGGCTGCCTCGGGGCGGACGGGCGCGGGCGACATTTCCTTGGAGGAGATTGATATATTGGCGCCAATGATGATATGCAAGGATGAAATGAGAAGTGTTTGGTTTTGAAAACATATTGAACTATTTTTGAATAATATCTATTACAACTATGTTACAAACGATCATTGATAAATGAAACGACTTGTAAACTTGAGTACATAATAATAAAAGTCATAGACTTTTGAAATATCGTAGCTGAATGAAAGATGTCGTACTACGAGTAAAGTTCTTCAAGAACTTCAAAATTATACTCAAGCCCATGATTTAAATAAATTAAACTAATAAAAACACATGGAGCAAATTAGCTCCAATATAGACTAAAGGTGCTATGACTTTTTACATAGAACAAAAAAGTGAATCTAAAATACTGGTATCTGATAAAATTATTATTGAAGTGTTAAATATTGATTTTTAACCGCCTAATCAGCGAAACCAAATTAAATCAAAATATTAATAAAAGCGTTTCAAAGCATAATTGTGAATTTGACAATAAGAAATATTTATGGAAAAGCTCTCCAAGACATATTACTAAGGTGTGGAACCTCTACAACGACTTTTAAGTTAGTTTCTATTTCTATAAACATTTAGTAGATCAACAAATTATTTAGACATTTTATTTCAAATGCAGATGAGAGTTATATTTTAAATATTTTAAATCAGACCATCAGTGGCAAAACTCAGAAGTTCAAAATTAGAGATTTGAGTTCAAAATTCGCTTTCTATTAAAATTTAATTAAACAAGCTGAATTTTCAAACATAGTCATGGAAATATAATTTGAATACAAATACTAACAAATCATTCGTGGTATTATTCATTATAATTATAATTCCAAGTGGCACTATCGCTGCATGTATAACATCATTAACTTTGACACTAATAAAATAAACTTATCTCTGAAACAAATTTGTATTGAAATTTTTCCATTCACAGATGATATTTATTAACAAAACAACGATATATAAGAATTTAATTAAATCGCTCGAAAAAAGATAAAAAAAATTGCAAAATTTCTAGAATGTAGAAAATATTGGATTTATCTTTAAATTTGTGCGAGATAATTTCGACTGGCAACCATATGACAACTTTTGATATAATTATCAGTAAATAATCGTTTGCAAGAATCGTACGTTGATGAAGATAAAAAGCTAGGTTGATTTTTTATGGCAAAATTATTTTTATAGTCATTAATTTTAATGCATTTTCGTGTAATGATTTACGATAGACTTTTAATGATTGTGATTCAGTGATTTGTAGACGTCACAGAAATGACTCAATGTAAACGAGACATAATATTAAACAAGATCAACAAATAGCCATAACGTTAGATGGAACACATGCACGTAGAAAAATAACAGAAAAAAATTCATTATAGTGATAGGTCGTAAAAATTTGAACAATGAATATAGAAAATGTAATAATTGTTGTAAATGTAAATGTTTACTAGATAAAATTGATTACATATGTAATGTTGTTTAATCGGTGATCTTATCAAATCTTTATGGTGTTTACACATATCATGAGTTCTTCCAGGAATCATTTATATCGGTTCAATGTTACGAAATATTAAATTAATAAAAAAAAATATTTGCTTCATTTCGATTGCTCTTACTAATTTGTACTAACTCTTATTGCAAGTCAATAGACTTTCGAAGTTGAGTTGTTTTTGATTAGTCTTTAAATTTTTTTGAAATTTTTTTATTTGATTTTTCCAAAGTTTAGAAACAAGCCTGTAGAATCAATAATGATACTATTATAATAATTATTATCATGAACGTCACTGCAAAAAATGTTGCATACATATATAAAACTGCGCAACAATCTTGCACGTATTATCATGTGATAAGACAATTTCTTGGGGCTTGCCTTTATACAGTGTCAATATTTGATAATTTATCAAAGTCTTCTTTGCTGTATTTGCATATTAACCGCATACATTTAATACCAATGCAAATAGAGAAAAATCTTAAAACGGAAATTATTATATATGTAAGATATGAAATGCATATTATTATGATTGTGAGATTAACAGAAAATTACAAAAAACGTCATAAACCGTAATATTTGTGAAGCCTCACAATTGTTACCATAAAATTCCTTAAAAACCTCCAATCTTATTCATCTCATACTCTATATTTGTGGTACAATGTTGCTCATAAATGGAAAATACTATGAATATTCAAAATCAGTGCTGATTTCATATTCCAAAATGATAAAAGTTTAAACAAAAACAGAATACTAATATTAGTTCTTAAACTCAGCTCATAGACTCACAAGATGATCAATTTTCATTTCATGATATGTTAAAAATGTATATATTAATTATTATACGTTAATTATTCTCAACATATAATAGTATTTTATAAATATGCTAATTGATCTAAAATTAAATACAGATATAAAATAAACACCACCTTGACCTAGCACAAACTGCGCTGTTAAAGAATATAAAAGTTCATAGTCCAAAATTCATTTTTAATTCGACTAAGATGTTTATCATTTAATAGAATTAGAACACTGTAGTTTGAATAACAAAAATATTTTCTAAATATAGCAACTTTACAAAACCAATAAAAAATAAATAGAGGAATCAGCAGTATCAACTAGCAATTTTTCAAGAGGATAAATAAAATAATTATATCAAGAAATTTGAGGCTATTTTTACACATATATTTATAAGTAAACAATAACTAGTTTTGACGTCCTTATTACCATCTTTTAATTTGAATTTTTAATACATTGTTGTACTGAATAGTCGTTATAAAACTTGTCGTGCAAGTTCAATAAGACAAACGATTTGAAAAGTTTTCCAGAACAAAAGTAACTAAAAGGCGTAAGAAATGTATAAATGAATCCTTTGCTTAGTGATTCTCAGTACTCAAAAATTAATTTTTGACTGTATTTTTCATTTCAACTTAAATTTTGTTAGTATGTCAGGTACAAAGTGCCTACGCGTAGTATTATCGAAGATCATAAATATATTAACGTATGATTGCCTAACGTACTATGACAGTGCAAAGTGCGTCGATAACAACACATTGATTGAAATATATAATACTCCTAGTTATTTTCCAATAATTAATAACAAACATGCCACTAGTACTACAGATTAAAACGATTAAAAATGTATTGTCTATGAAATATGCTGCAATGAGGGTACCCATCTTGGTAACTGATACTAGTTTAGTTCTCTATGGATAATTATTCCAAGATATTTGAACAGGTATTTCCATGATAAATAATTTCCATGGTATCCCATGGGAATATTCAAAAAATTAATTTATTTTTTTTTGAAAATTTCTAAATACCCTACTTAAAATTATTTGCATAACATTCGATATATTTGTATCTGATATACTCTACATTTTTTAAGAAAGCGTCCTATACATTGTTGAAGTGTATTACATAAGTGTATTGCAAATGGTATTGGCACTCTTTTCGACGTACATAAATAACATATCTGGTTCGCTCACAACAAGACATAATGCTAATTTTTAAGATAAACAGTAAGAAACGAAATCCTACAATTTCATAAAAATACTCATTTTTAATTAACAATTATGTACAAAATTAAACATAGTTTACTATTTAATTTTATGATGTCTATTTATTTATTCAATCGGATGGTACACATTTCGTCATAACATTATAATCATGGTGCCGCTCATTATTTAAAATAAACGTTCATCACGTGAATTTGTAGCCACGTGACTAAAATTAACGCACATATGATCAGTGATCCATCGTGCTGTTATAATACAACTAGAAATACTAAATAAATGTAAATAAATAGCATTTATCCAAAAAGCCGTTAAAAATAGAGACAATTTGCATAAATTTCGCAGTTATAACTTACCCCTCAAACGAATACATCGTTGCACAACATACAATTCGTTTTCCTGCGGACTAGAAAATACATCACTGAAAACTGCGCACTTTCAGGTGTTTGAACCGATTTTGTCAATTCAAATGCACATATTAGCTATTATTTAATAAGTACTGTTTTTAACGAAGGCAAACGCGTTAAACACTGTGCATTGATATTGTATATTTAACGCCGAAGAGCAGCGAGTGATTATAGTAAATCTAATGAGTCAGCATTAAAAATAGTAAACATTCATTACACAACTCCTCATACAATGATATGAGAAGCGCGCGTGTTACATTGCGACACCTACACACAATTCTCATCGCGCTGGCAAAATAAATAGACTAGGTTAAGCATTGCATCGAATGCGATCACTGAATTACCATAATTTTGCCTGATAATAAATGTGCAAACATTATATTACCAAGTCAGGTTTATGCAAATTCACATATTCGATACATTAAATTTCATTCAAAGGCGATTCAACATGATTTGAAATATTGGATTTGAATCATCAGTTTGCTTCAAGTTGGAAACGTTCGATGGCAGCACGGATTCAGAACTCGTAGTGAAATCATTTCTATTATAAATATCTCGCACAGGTGTAAATATAGATAAAAGGAGCGATGACGTCGACCAGGAGATTTCACCTGTACAATTCGCCGTATGGAAGAACAGCTACTATCCTTACTAGAACCATTTGAGCCTTACAAACAAGCATGCCTTAGGCAATTAGAGTTATCACAATCATAAATTTTTGCATAACCTGGTCCAAAATGATTATACGTATTACAATTATTGAAACATTTTCAATTATTATACTTTTCAAAAATAATATGTAATGATTTTATGTAGACACCAGAAATTCTCTTAAACGTACTCAAATATTTCTAGAGCAAATTTGTATAATAATTGATCTAATTGTAAGTGAAAATTGGAATACATTTTGCATAAACTTACATTTTGAAATTTAAATCAATTGATTGCTACATCTTGTAACAAACATTGTAGAATAAATCTTCATGACGACTAATCATATTTGGAATTCGAACCAATTTTTCATATTATAATAGATATATTAAAAACTACACCTGGTCGTAAGCAACACGAGTTGCTGCTAAAATATTTCAAAGCAAATAAACTGAATATTGTTTTACCTTCATTTACTGCCATGTCCATTAATTGCAAGTCTTCATCGTTCAAAATTGAATTTAAAAACCCATCCGTTGTCTGGTTCAGGCCATCGATAGAAGAATTCTTAAAAATAAGACAAATATTTAAATAACTTAGCAAACATGTGTAACAATAACGCAAATTCTATCAAGATCACATTAGTGTCTTACAAATAAATTGCAAATCATTGTATCATGAAATCAACTGTACTACAAATGTGTAGTTTTAAACTATTTCGTGCATTTTGCATTTTGCAAACTATTTTGTGCATTTTGCATTAAAGTGTATTATGAATGAAAATAATAGTGAATTATTAGTAAAAGTTTATATAAATATTTACCTGGTAATACAACATGTCAGCTCCCTCAGATTTATAACTGCCAGCAATCGCTTCAGCTTCACTTGCATTTGTGAGATGCATCGAAGAAGTTACAGCAGATCCCAAATTAGGCCCTATAACAATAATTTTTTAGTAAAACTGGTAATCGATATCAAATATTATGATCATAAGTATTTCTTTCTTCTAATTAATATTGTGATTGTAAGTACTTTTGTCAAAATGATATATATCATTAAATATTGGTTGCATGCCAACTTTATATTCATAAAAACCGAAGTTTAAAACCACTTATTGTTGCTAATATTAATATAATTGCATTTTCATAATATCTAAAGTAATAAGAATTTTAATTTACCATATGAGACAGGTCCAGGATTCAAATCCCCCATGGGAGGTGCAAGCGTGGCATTGTGCAGCAGTACTCCACCAGGCGGCAAATGATATCCTGTGCTATTCGCCGTTCCATTAGCATTCGGACTGGAAAATGCTGAATAGGCTCCGGCATGGTGAGGCGTCGCCTGGTGCGGGTGATGCTGACCTTGCAAGTGACCGTGCGGGTGATATCCTCCGGCAGACTGGTCGGAAAGGTGAGCTGGAGCGCAGGACGGCGGTGCTGGGCCGCCCAGGAACGAACTGGCAAAGTCCTGCCAGCGCTGCTCCATGGACATGCTGCGCGATATCGGCATTCGCGGCTAGAAAAACAGATATATCAATAAAAGACAATATTCATGGAAATATCTTAACGACATGCATTAAACAACAATAACAAAAATATGATCAATTGCTTATAAGCAAGAATATCCTGCTCTTCAATTTACATAGCGATATGACAGTCTCGTCTAATAACTATATTGTTTATATTTACTTGTATAAACCTATTATTTTAATAATTATTTTTTATATATCGGTTTGAATATAAACAGTTATATTGCAATTTTTTAACTTTAAATTAGATATTTTAAAGCATAACGGTTACTGTAATTTCTCTAATGAATTTGGTACTGAAATAAAATTGCTTTAATCCACAATATAAATAAGTGCAAGAATATAATTTATAATCATATTTGCGCGTACACAAGATCAAGATCAGTATATTATAAAAGGTTAATGAGATTTTCTTAAACGTTGAAGCGAAAAAAATAATTTCATAACTCTAAGAAAAGTTTTCTAAATTATATCATACTTCGTCTTCTTGATCAATTAATATGTCCCTACCTGAACTGATACTATTTCAAAATATTTTATATCGATTACTTAATAGAATTGTATAATTCACCTATGAAGTACAAATGTACAAAACCAGTTTTCTTCTTAAAGGTGTAATTAAAACAGACACGAATCTTGCCAAGGTCAATTGTTAATATCTCATAGATAGACATTAACTACCTTGTAGTTGGTACCGGGAATATAATAATTATGATTTATTATTGAAAAATCAGTTTTTTTGATATGTTGATAATCACCGATTTTTTCACAGTTTATAGGCCACGAATCTCTCACACCATTTTGACAGCATTATAAATTAGTATGGCTATATTACCAAGATGTGTTTTGAAAGTTTTTATGAATCAGTGAGTCAGAAGTTCAATGTTAGGGCTAAAAAATAATAAACAGACTTTTGCTTGATTACTTTATTTATATTCATCCGATAATTCGCAATTATAATATGATAAGAAAACATAGGTAAGTTAATTAAAATAAAAATAGTTTGTGAAAGAGCAGAAAGAAAAGATAAAATATTAAATAAAGATAGATATACAAATCGATTGTCATATTATTTTAATTAAAACGAAATAAAAAGAACTGTGAACAATAAATAAAAAAGTAATGTAGTCCAGTTGCAGGTCGTTATTGAATACACATTAAGATCAGCATCATTTATTCCACCGTAACGGCCGGCAACAATGGTACGAAAAATATATCGTTAATTATAAACTAAAATACGGTGTTTGACACATGAAAGTACAGTTAATCTTAATAATTGCAATATCAGGCAACAATCTCTACTGTACTCCTTCGGTATCGATCAATGTGACTGTATATTATATAGAAATTGTACACAGTTGCAACGTTGATATAATAACAAATCGCAAATGTGCGAATGAAGTGCAGTAGATTGCCGTGTGAACCCAAGAAGTATCAAGATGTAAAATGGATTTATTGTCAGTGATCGTCAACAATGGATTAACGCTGTGTCATATGATTTAAATGTGGTAAATTAAGGGTAATTGATTGTTATGCACCTTAAAAATCAAATTGATATAATCTTGAATTAATCTGAAAATTATTGATAATTACATCTTATATATATGTTCCACTCGAGCTATAAAATTTATTGCTCAAAAGAGAAAATCGAAAAATGAATGATCCAAATTAAGCTAGAATATTTGCCCCAACCCAAGCTATACAGTGCTATAAATGGAGAAGCACAGCAGCTTTCAAATCTAGAGAGGTCTCCTAGTGTTCTCTCCACATTCTGTTTGTGATTAGAAATATTGAATTATAAGTTATAATTCGCAATAGAACTCCGTCTTAATAATGTTTGTTTTGCAATAAACATAAAAAGTGATAATTAAGTAACGCTACATTCTATTGGTTCCTGGTGCACAATTCCGTTTATTTTTACTTATCAGCATGCACGTGCTACACATCAACATATCCCAGTTAATTATGAAGCGATCGCATCGACCGAAATGAAAAAAGATCAACGACAAGACAGTCAATCTACTGTGCATATAATAAAACAAATTATTAGAAAATACGTACGATTAATTAAGCAAAGGCGATAGAAAAACTGAAAATCAGACAATGTACCAGGAGAATAATAGTATAATACACAGGCGAGCGATCCGTCCTATCTCGCTCTATTGGCTAGATTCATTTATCATATAATCGAATCGCTGCGATATTAGAAACAGTTATTTTAATTTCAAATGCAATTACGGGACGACAACCACTGGAAAAATCCTGTAGCAAATTGTGAAATTACATAGAAATTTACCGGTATGTAGATGCATTGGATTAATCCGATCTGCGATACTCGATATACATACATACATACACACATTCTCTATGCATTTGCATCTGCATTTGTTCATCTCTAATTCTCTATGTAACACAAAGAATATCGAGCTTTCATATGTTTACAATATAGGTGACGATATATTGAACAACAAAAGAGAAAACCACACGTAGATGTAGATATATTTAATCTAATAAATAATTATCGGATATAATAAATCTGAAAAGCATTAGATTAAAATCGATATTTCAAAATTTATTATATGAAAATAATAAATAGGTCTAGGTGAAATATAACAGCTCAAATAGTGTCCTCAAATTCTTAACCAGCTATCGCTTAATGTTCCCAAATTCTCTTCACAAACTCAAAAATTTTCAAGGTATATTATTCGTAAGATTAATGCTCTTTTAAACAATTAATAATTTAAAGGTACTGATATTTATAATAGACTGTGTAATAAAAAAGAAGATCATTGCCGTAATATATTAAGATGATCATACGTTCAGGATTAGATCATAAAGTTCCAGAATTCCACCTTATGTCCCAGATTTTTTTAAAAACAGTATTAGTCCCGAATTTATGAACCGGTTTGTCCTTTTTTTTCAATATATATTTTAAGTAGAATTCATTTTTACAAAATTTAAACTGAAAAAACTGTCATTTCAAAACACACTACTTGAAATAGACTCATTAAAGGCGATATTACTTACTAAAGATAATTATGGAGTAAATTGTAGAGATTTTTATATAATTTAAAAAACCAAATATGACCTACCATAAGGAATCCTTATTTCAAAAAAATGTATACATCTCACAAATAATTTTAAATGTTTATTATAAAAGCTATTTATAATGTTTATTTAAAAAATCACCTACAATTTTGGATCCAGGATTTGAAATCCACTTTTTAACTGTTCTAAAAAAATTATCACTTGACTACGTTTGCAATTTTAATACTATAAATTTATAATATTTATTATATAATTTACTATGTACCTAGTGTTCTATTAATTTACTTGCAAATATATATAAATATACCTAGTAGTATGTTTAATCTTTATTATGTAGTTGCATTTACTACACAAATAATTCAATGATTCCAAACAATTTAATTAAAAAATAAAATATAATTAACTATATCAAAACGCTATTCATTACTAATCACTATGATTTCAAATATTAAAATAACAGCAAGCACAAAAAATAGAACACGAAATTAAACGAACGGATGTTACCTGTGAAATGAACAATTACATATAATTATGATTATATAGAAATCGTTTAATCAAACATAATATTACTGTACGCCGAACTATCGAAAGAAAGCTTCAGTAGATCGTTAAATATAAATATAAATTCAAAAGTTTAAACACATGGCGTAAAATTGTAATTATTCTTATGTTGTTAAATTAATTTTTGTATATGGGAAATCTTCGGATTGACTAATGATCGATGCGAAAAACTTTCCAAGGCGCTTTGTCTTAGGTGTTAAAAGCAGTAGAGAAATAATAAATTGGCTATCATAAATATTATTATTTTCAAGTTAATTAAGTTTGAATTAGGCATCGGGTTTCTTACTGTACTTTTATGTTAGAAAAAGGTGAGAAAAAATATTTAGAACAAATTTTAGTTGAACATTGATATTAGAAAATATTCGTCCGTTAAATTTTAATTTCAATCATATAATAATGAAAAAAAATCAAGAGATCATAATTTCAATAAATCGCACATATTAATATTGATCTCTATTACCATATAAAATAATAAAACCAGTTCTCAGCAAACACGTGAATAACTCATGATATGATAATTGAAATTAACACATTATTTCTGACCGGATTAATAATTTCTGCATGTGATACATTCATTATTTCATATGTTTATATTGAACTGTATGTTCAAGTGTAATTCATTCATAATTCAGAGTACTTGTATAATGTGTCAGATTCTTTGCATAATGTTATATATTACTTTTGTAGCTACAACCATCAAAAATATATTGGCATAAAATGGACTCTCATTAATCCGGCACTTCGATCGACCAACACCTTCATAAAACCGAAACTCTCGTAATTTTTGGGAATTATTAGAAATTTTCAATACCATACTTCCAATACCATATATTAAAAGTTGTAACTTTTTACTATAATCCAGCCTTCTAAACTAAATTCATATCAATACAATTACTGCTATTTGAAAATTACTGTTTTGATTGCACTAATTGAAAATTCAGGGAAAAAATCACATTTGTTTAGGAGGCGTCAATTAATCACGTAAGCAATTTTTAAGGATTTTTGGACCCCCCTCTCCCTTACTATACATGATGATATTTAAAATTACCCCTTTCCCCTCAAAACATTACGCGTATTTTTAGCACCTAGAAAAAATCGTACGATTGTTGATTTTTTTTTTAAATTTCGGACTTTTTTCTTAAATTCAACGTCAACCTCCACTTACCCCTTTAAAGCTCAGGTGATTAACAGACGCCCCCTTATGAATTATTTTCTTTTGTCTAAAATTGTAAAAAAATATTATAATAAATATGATACTATTATTAAGTAAAATCTCTAATTTTTTTTAAATGTGATAGGAAAACATGTGAGTGAATCGCAGAAAAACGTACGAGCTTTCTTCATAAATTTTATTATAGATCTTAGTCTCTTAATTAAT